TAGTCACTTTTCAACAACTACTTGCAGGGCACCTTAAACATAATAAGAAGACTCAAAGCAAGACGTTATTTTAAAGGAAAGATCCAAACAAACAGGAGAAGCTATGACTGATGGTTTCTAAGGAAAATTTTAAAGAAGGAAAGTGTACTAGAAGCAGTGAAGTTTAGGGAGCAAGTTTTTGAGTTTAGGGGAAGATCAATGGTATTGTTATTAGACTAGAAGTGCTGGTCCCCAAGTTATGTTAAGTTCAATAAACATCTAGAATCGGATCTGATAATGACCATGGAACCACTGCGATTGTCCTAAGTACCCATCTGGTTCATTAATGTCCTTTAGGGAAGTAATTGCTGTCCTTACCTGGTCTGGCCTACGCGCGACTCTGTGCTGCCATCTGAAATGGCTGAGCAAGCTGTTCAGTTATACAAGAACTAGGAGCAGGAGTAGGCCGTCTGGCCCTTCGAGCCTGCTCCGCCATTCAATAAGATCATGGCTGATCCTTTCATGGACTCAGATCCACTTACCCGCGTTCTCACCATATCCCTTAATTCCTTTATTGTTCAAAAAAAATCTACCTTTTTTTTAAAAGCGTTTACTGAAGTAGCGTCAACTACTTCACTGGGCAAGGAATTCCATAGATTAACAACCCTCTGGGTGAAGAAATTCCTTCTCAGTTCAGTCCTAAATCTGCTCCCTCTAATCTTGAGGCTATGCCCTCTTGTCCTAGCTTCACCTGCCAGCGGAAACATCCTCTCTACTTCTATCTTATCTATTCCCTTCATAATTTTATATGTTTCTATAAGATCCCCCCTCAAGCTTCTGAATTCCAATGAATATAATCCCAATCTACTCAGTCTCTCCTCATAAGCCAACCCCCTCAACTCTGGAATCAACCTAGTGAACCTCCTTTGCACCCCCTCCAGTGCCAGTACCCAAAGGTAACTAACCAATAAATGCTGTCCCATGAGGGATTAAAACATAAAAACTGAAGGTGCCAGTGGTGGAGCTGTTCAAATTGGAGATGCTGAATAGGTTAGAATTAGGGAGGGATATTTTGGAGGGTTCTGAGGATGGAGGACATTAGAGAATTTGAGGGCCAAGGCTACTGATCGACCTGTAAGCAACGAAAGGTGCTCCTCTTAAACTGGAGGTGACTTTAGTCAGAGCAACAGTTCATTGTGGGAAATGTGTTAGACATAACAGCAACATGTTTTAACTGTTCCATTAATGCTGATAATTGGATGTAAGGCAGAAAATTCTTGCAGCCTCTGCAAATCCTAATCCACCACTTTCCTATGCAATGATAATATTCAGCAGTCTTTGTGGTTGAATTGGTGGTACTGAGGCGGGTGATACAAGGTCATGGAAGCCTTCTGTCTGACTGAACAATGAAGGTCAGACTCCTCCCCCTCGATGGGTAAAGTAGGTCTGAGGAAAGCTTCCTATTTCTCTCGCACCCGCCTCCCCACTCCCCAAATCCCAGTCCGAGTCTTCATTGCTGTCCCTTTCTTCCCTGCAGGTGTTGGCATTCCTACATGGGCTGCTCACATTCCATCATCTGACCTTTGAACTGACTCAGGATTTCATGCCCTATAAACAGCAGCTTCAGTTAAGCTTGCAGCACGTGAGTTCTGTTCTGATGTTTACTTCGGGCCAAAAGTTAGAGGATGGGCACTGGGGAGCAGGGCTGCGTGGTGGAGATTGGAATTGACTGGTTGGGCCAGGTTCTCACCACTGACCCAGATAGATCGAATTGAGAGAGAGCGTGACAAGGTAAACCTGCTACGGAATGGAGTATCCTTTTGGAGGTAGAATCAAAGCAGTTTGGGAGTAGCCTTTAAGGTGGCTGTGTTCTGAAGTGGTCTGATTAAAAGGCCCACCTTGGATCTTTGCAAGTATTTTTCCAGGTACTTGGTTTCATTCAAGGCCCTCTGCCCCATCTCCACCCCCCCCTTCCCCTGCCCATTACCTCATTACTTTCCCACTCTGACCCCATGCCACATCCATTTCCACTCAAGCCTCCCAGACCATTCCAAAGGCCCCTCATACACTTGATGCCAACTTTTGGCTTCTTCAATGTCCAGTATACACTATACAGAATCAAGGACTCCTATATTATTGGTGTGGGTGAAACTGCTTAGAGGGAAACACCCATCTGTAATTTTTTGAAATGAACTGGTGTTCCTACAATCCTCTAAAGAAGTACCAATAACTCCAGCTTTAAGAACTTGATGCCGTGTGCAAATAACCATTGAGACACTGACAAAAGAAATCACGGAGAAAAATAACATCATAACTGCATGGAGATGTCGGTCAACATTTCCCTTTTGCAGGCAAAGTTGCTCTCGTAATCCTTATATAAGAACCTGGGCTCTCCTCCAAGCCTTGTTATATATGAATCCTTCTGAGTTGGTGAATATCTGGTCTATTGTGGACTAACCCAGATTGTCGTATAGCCCCCGGTAACAGGAATAGAAATTTATTCTTTCCAAACTTGATTTCTCCAATGTTCTTCCTGGTTTCCTGTATCTCCCACCTTAAACCTCTCTGCCTGCCCACTTCCATCTTCACCTTTGAAAAACTGCAATCACATTATTTTGCCCAAAAGACTTGCTTCCTTTCTGTGCCCACAGTGAATCACCTTGGGCTGTATCCATCTATAAGAAATACACACCAATGTCTCACGCTGATTGAAATGAATCTAGCCAATAATCAATAGCAGGTTGATGTTGAAACAATCCCTGTAAATTTATTAAATGTTTCCCTTATTTTGCTAAAAGAATCTACCAGTGGAACATGTCCACTGAACTCTTCTAAATGGTGGTTCTTCAGAGAATTTACAAACGATAATCCCACAGCCACACAAAATTAAAAGAGGACCATTTCACAAAATCCGTGATGGTGCATCTTGCCCTGAGCGCACGTCCCATATTTTTCATTCTCTAGTCTGTCTTGTCAGCTGTTCGGAGTTGGTGTTTCCTGCTCATTTCAGGAACATGATCTATTCCGAAACAGCTCACTGTCCAGCAGTGGGCAACAGGGTAGAGTTATGTTGAGTCTCTGCGGGACCTGAAAGGGTCTTGGTTGTTTTCGCAGACGAGGAATCACTTCATGGGCACTCGAGAGGAGATGGAGGATCTCATGAAAAGAATGAAAGAAGCTCCACAAACCTGCAAGCTACCAGGACAGCCCACCATTGAAGGCTACCTCTACTCTCAGGAGAAACGTAAGGAGCAGAGAGATCCCACTGAGACTCCAGATTTGTTTCTGCTTCTCCCTTCTACTAGTTGCAGATTCTAGAACACAGGGCCTTAGTCGAAGAATTAGGGCCACACTGTTCAGGAGAGATGTTAGGAAGCAGTTCTGCACTCAAAGGGTGGTAAGGGTTTGGAACTCTTTCATAAACAACAATTGATGCTGGATTAGTTGTTAAGTTAAAACCTGCTTCACGAAAATGTATCTATCTCAAAGGTATTAAGCGATATAGGCCAAGGTCAGTTTATATGGATTCAAGGCACAGATCAGCCATGATCTCATTTGAGAGGTGGAACAAGGTTGAGGGGCTGAATGTTTGTTTTTTTTTTATTTTCTGAATTGCTTTATTTCGGTCACTGCCAGGTTGAGTTTCCTGAAATTAGCTGTTCAGAGTCATGCTGTTCAACTTTCGAGGTCTTTGACCTGAGGTGTGAAAAAGGCCTGGTTTTGATGAGATAACAGTGTGGAGCCGGAGGGACACAGCAGGCCAGGCAGCATCGGAGGAACAGGAAAGCTGACGTTTCGGGTCGGGACCCTTCTTCAGAAAAAAGTTTTCTGTTGTGTTCCTCCAACTCCACACTTTGTTATCTCTGACTCCAGCATCTGCAGTCTTTCTATCTCCCTGGTTTTGATTATGTATCTTTGGGTGACCTTACCATGTGTCTTGGTGCCATCTAGTGTCTTGTTGCAGTATTGCAGCAGTTTGGTTATTCTAGTTGTTCCTCTGTACACAGGATCCAGCTGGAACTTCACCCTTTCCTATCGGCTGCATATCCAATTTGCCTGTGGGTGGTAAAGTGGAGATGTATAGCTAGGTTCCTGCATAGCTTTGCGCAGAATAATACTCCTCCTTGGTTCCTTTTAACTCTTTCAGTGACCTGAGTGCTGCAAACTCTGACCACACCAGGATTTATCCTCTCAGAAAATCATCTGATGAATGTTTTATTTGACATTTAAGGCGCTGAGGGAGGGCATTTGATCATTGTGTGACCCTCTAGGGTAAAGGTGGTGAGGGTTCTGGGGAAGGAGGAGGGTTAGATGTGGTGAAGAAGGGGAAATTTGGTCAAATTGGCTCTTAGCTGAGCTAGAGCAGTATTGGTAGAAAACTGAGCGTATCTTGACCACTTGTTGCTGAGGGAACCTGATATAAGTTAGGGATGACCAGACAGATTTCTATTTGTGCAAGTTTTTAAAAAGAAAATCTATTTTTGACTCTCCACAGGTGCTCTGGGATTCTCCTGGGTGAAATACTACTGCAAATATGTGAAAGACACCAAAATTCTAACCATGATCCCATGTGATCCAAAACCTGGGGTGAAGCAAGTGAGTAATTTTTATTTATTCATGGGATGTGGGTGTTGCTGGCTGGGCCAGCATTTGTTGCCCTTCAAAAGGTAGTGGTGTGCTGCTGCCTTGAACCGCTGCAGATTGTGTTGTCGCTAGACTCACAAGGTCATTAGGGATGAAACTCTAGATTTTGACCCAGCGACACTGAAGGACCAACATCATATTTCCAAGTCACAATGGGTGGTTTGGAGTGGAACATGCAATTGGTAGTGTTCTCGTGTATCTGCTGCCCTTGTCCTTCTAAATGGAAGTGAATTGTGCATTTGGAAGGTGGTCATCAAAGGCTGGGTGGTTTGTGTCTGTGCAGCCAAAAACCAATGGGCCACGTGGCCACTTCCAGTACCACAAGCTTCCTGTGACTTGAGTTGATACAGAGTTTGGCTGATTTAAGGAGAATGTAACAGACGCACTGAGCGGACATCTTAGAGTTTATCCAGCAAGGCAATATGGGTAGACCTCAGGAATAAGAAAGGTGCACTCACTATGATGGGGTTATATTAAGGCCTACCAATAGCCAGTGGGAAGTAGAACAACAGATATGTAGACAGATCGTGGAAAGATGTAAAAATAACAGGGCTGTTTTAGTAGGTGATTTTAACTTCTGCAATATTGGTTGGGACTTGCTTAGTGCCGGGAGCTTCAATGTTAGAATTTGGTTCATCCAGGGGAGTTTCTTGAAACAGTACGTAGATAGTCCAACGGGGAAAGGACCATACTAGATCTTGATTTTGGGAATGAACCTTGCCAGGTGATTGAAGTTTTAGTGGGGGAGCATTTTGAGAACAAGGATCATAACTCCATAAGTTTTAAGATAGTTCTGGATAAGGATAAGACTGGTCCTCAGGTGAAAATACTAAATTGAAGGAAGGCCGATTATGACAGTATCAGGCACAAACTGGCAAAATTAGATTGGGGGCAGCTGTTTGAGCGTAAATCCATCTCTGACATGTGGGAGTCTTTTAAAGACCAGTTGATTAGAACCAGAATGTTCCTGTGAGGATGAAAGATAAGGATGGCAAGATTCGGGAAGCCAGATGATAAGAGAAATTAAAAGGTTAGTCAAAAAGAAAAAGGAAGCATATTGTAGACAAGACTCTTGAGAGATGTAAAGGAAGCAGGAAAGAACTTAAACAAGGAACTAGGAGGACTAAAAGGGGCCACGAAAATTTTCTCGGCAGTAGGATTAAGGAGAATTGTATAGTTTTATTAGGAGCAAGAGGGTTGTTGTCCACTCCATTCCTGTGTTTCTGCTGAAAACTGGGAATCTGTTGCTGATTGGTGGCCCTTTTCCATGCAGAAGACAGAGGAGCAAGGTTCACCATGTGTTGGAAAAAGAGCTGAGGAGAGCCTTTGGCAGAGCCCCAAATACAATAGAGACTCCTGTGTGGGAGTGTGAGGGGAGGGTGGTATGTATGCTAGGGGGAAGGGGCAGTTTGGATGGGGGCACAGGGAGAAGGAGGTGGGACATCCCACCACAGCAGATGGCAGAATTTGAATTCAGTAAAATATCTGGAATTAAAAATCTAATGATGACCATGAATCCATTGTCAAATGTCAGGAGAACCTATCTGGATCACTAATGCCCTTTTAAGGAAGGAAACTGACATCCTTACCTGGTCTGGCCTACATATGACTCCAGACCCACAGCCATGTGGTTGACTCTGAATTGCCCTCTGGGCAATTAGGGATGAGCAATAAATGCTGCCTAGCAGCAATACCCTCATCCTGTTAATTTAAAAAAAAAAATTGCTTGACCTGTCAATTAGTGACATGCTTAGCACAGCCGATGGAGTCTTTGGCCTTATCTCTGCTTGGGCTTTCTGTTGTCATTCTAAATGCTCTGAGCTTCCAGTTCTAGGCTATTGTCAAAGCTGACATTCATCGCTGTCTCTTCTCCTTTGGGGAAACCTGAGCACCCATCTCTGTGATGTGAGCGAATGGAGACTTTTCAATCTGTAGATCTGTCCATTATAATTAGCTTGGTCCACTGATGGCTATTTTCCACCACGGTACCCTCAAAAACATCAGGTTCCATGTCACATTACTCCTCTGCTCACTGGACCTATACTGGCATTCAATTTATCAATGCATCCTTGTCCTTTTTTCTGAAAGGGAGGAACTGCTCCCTATCTCTTCTAGACCCCCCAAGAAAGCTGAGCTCCTTCAATTCTGGGCATCCCAAAATATTTAATGTTCATTTCTCCACCACTGGCAGCCTGGGCTCCAATCCCCAGAATTTCCTCCCTCAACCGCTTCCCTCTTTCAAGGTCCTGAGGCATCAAAGCTTTTGGTCACCCATTCTAATGTTTCTTTGGTCTAGGATTGATCTTTGTCTCGTTATGCTCCTGTAGAGTGATTTTAGCTGCTTTTTTTGTCAGCTACATGAAAGCTGTAAGTTGCTGCTGCAGTGTCAGCTTTGGACTTTGGACAGAATACAGCCTGTTATTTGGGTCCTCAAGAAAATATTTCAAACACTGAAGTGGACTATTCGCCTTTGTAACCTCTTCTGCATTATGTACTTTTCTCTAGGAATTCAAGCTGAAATCCTGCGTTAGAAGGAAATCGGAATCCATCGATAAGCGATTCTGCTTTGATATAGAGATGTTTGAAAGGTAAAGGAACGCCATGTAAAGAAGCAAAATACTGCAGATGCTGGTGATCTGAAATAAAGAACAGAAATTCCTGGAGAAAGCTGGCAGGCCCGGCAGCATCTGTAGATTCTAAAGAATAGACAGACCAGGTTTGAAATGTTAACTGTTTCTGTCTTTACAGCTGATGCCAGATCTGTTGAGTTTCTCCAGTATTTTACTTCAATGAAAGGAAAGTCATTGACTGGAGCATAGACTGGGATAGCACCTGAAGGTATTCAAAGATTATCAAGAGCGATATGCTATAATCAGCAATGGCAATGGAATAATTAACACGTTCAACAGAGGTTTTGACTTTGTATTATACCTTCTTTAAGCCTGTAATAGCTGTGTTGCAATGATTACTGAATCCTACATGAACACCAATAAGCAAAAATGCTGTACGAAGTGTTGATAGGAAGAGTATTGTTTAATTCCTTTTTGATTCAAGACCAGGCAGATAAATGTTATGCAATCCCTCATCTTTCCTGGCTCTGTGGTTGAATAAAATATGACTTGCCATTTTTCTTTTTTGTTAGTAAATGTGGTGTTTAGTCACTGAGACATTTACATGAGGCTGCAGATTTTCTTCAATAAGAAAACAAGTGACACAAAATAATAATTTCAAAACCGAAGATATATAAATAACTACGAGAGCTAGAATGATTTCAACACACAGCAAAACCAAGTTTCAACCTGTTTTCTGATGCTATCTATCACAGACTCCAGCCCAGAGAAATTACCTGTCTGTCTCCACTCTTTTTAGGGTTCTATTTAAACGATTCCTGATTGTTCCTTTGCTGTGGACTGTGAAGATGAGTCCTTTCAAAATCTGTTGACAAGAGCTTTTCATAAGTCTGAGAGCCTAAACTTTCTCAACTGTCTGATAATCTGCAGGTTTCTCTCCCTGCTTTGGAAGTTTAATAAACTAAACTCTGCTGTGACTTGTTCCCTGAACTGACCCGATTAATCTTTCCAGGAGAGAAACTAAACTTGCTTCTAAACTCAATATTTGTGCCTTCTGAATTGTATTTAAAGCAAAAAAAAAGCCTTGCTCCTCCTAGGATCTCTTGAACTAAAAAAACAAAGCTGAGGGCCCTGCAGATTTACTCTGCCTGTCATAAACCTAATAGTGTAAACATCTTTCCATAACTCTATTTAAGACCACAGGGGTATGCAGTCACCTGCTCGCTGACAAACCATTGGATTTAAGTCATTGTTTTAGAAGGACCTGCTGACCTTTTTCCAAAGAAAACACTTACTGAAGTAACAAACACCCCTCTATTTTGAAATCCAAATTCCAAAAGTGATAAACTTATACGCCCTTCATCACATCAGAGTTCAACCTACCGCCTCTGGCAATATTTATCTTTCGTCAAAATCCGATCAAAAACAGAACATTGTTTAGCTGTTTGTGGGATCTTTCTGTGCAATAAATGCCTACCACATTTCTTACATTTGCAGCAGTGATAGTGCTTTACTGAAGTACTTCATTGGCAATTGAGAACTTTGTGAACTATCTGGGGGTTTTGAAATACATGAAAGCCAGTCTTTCAATTTTGTTTTTCCTATCTCCAGTAAATTCTGAACAAATCTCCCTTTCACAGGCAAGGCCCTGTCACACTCCAAGCGCTCTCAGAAGCCAACAGAAGCTTATGGATTGAAGCAATGGATGGCAAAGAACCAGTGAGTATCCTGCTATATTCTGTATGCTTTTCAGTTTGTTTTAATAAACATTGCCTCTCCATGCCACTTTGCCAGGCAGGAAAGCACAAAGATGTTCAGAATCCCTCCCAGTGCTGTTGGAATTCCAGCTTTCCCAACCAGAATTCAGTTTAGATGCAAGTTTACTTTCTCGCTCTTAGGAGGACTAATCAGGGCAGTTTGGGGAACAAGCCACCTCAACAGAATGGTTTAGTTTGTGAAACTTCCAAATCAAGGGGGAGAAATCTGCAGATTATTAGAGAACTGAGAAAGTTTAGGCTTTCAAACTTGTCAGTCAGTAATTAAATAACATCATATTTGACTTTTGACATTACAAATTAGAAGGGATTTCACCATTATTAAGGCATTGTTTAGAATCCCTTAACTGTTCTTTTGTGATCACAATTGCCTACTACAGGCAGTCAACTTTCAGTCGTAATTTTCTGGTATCGAGTTTAAGATGCAACAGTGAATTAGTCATTAGGAGGACGTTTCACTGATCCTGAAGGTGTTATGTAGAATGGTGGAAAAGGGGTCACTAAGATTGAAGTGGTGTCTTTGTCTTTGTTCTTCCCTGATGTTGGGGAGGGTCTTCTCCCAAGAAGATAGTGGCTCGTTCCCCTGAATCCTCTCCCTCCTCCCTTCTCTGCACTTATCCCTGCTGATGCACACTATTCTGTGCAGGCAGTCTCTGCTGTGTCAATCACCTGATGACCACAGGCACCTATTCATGGTGCCAGTTTTTCCCCGTGCCTACCTCCATTTGAATGTTAGTTTTCATTCATTTCAAGGACAAAACCTTCCTTCATTGAAACCATGGGTCTCATAATAGAATCATGTGGCGCCTGATAAATCTTTTAATTTGCATTTAAGGAAGGCCAGTTACTGCTGTAACATGGTTACACAGGAAATACCAGATATGGAATACTGGGAGAACTCTTTTAAAGGTGACCCGAATTTACAGCATAACTGTATCTAACTTGGATCCGGCACAACCATGGAGTTCTGGTGGAACAAGCTCAAAGGACTGGTGTGATCCAGTACTTGTTTCTTTTGCTTTCTTGCTGCTTGGTATTAAGTTCTATTCAGGGTGAAGCTTCCAACTACCATAAATGTATTTCATTACGAAAACGGCTCGTCCTTCACATTAAAAACAGGAAAAAAACATCTTAAATTCCTTGCTACCAGGTTGAGGATTAATAACAATTGTACCTGCTGTCTGCATGAGATCATAGAATCCCTACAGTGTGCAAGCAGGCCATTCAGCCCAATGAGTCGGTGCTGACCCTCTGCAGAGCATCCTACCCAGATCCACCCCATTCCTGTAACCCAGCATTTCCCATGGCTAATCCACCTAACCTGCACAGCTGGGAGGAAACCTGACACGGGGAGAATGTGCAAACTCCACACAGACAGTCACCTGAGGCTGGAATTGAACCTGGGTCCCTGGCGCTCTGAGGCAGCAGTGCTAACCACTGAGCCACTGTGCTCCCCTCCACCCCACTATGGGAGATGGGAGGTGACAGAATCATTTCCCTTGTAGCTCACTTCGTGACAAAGCTGAACAGAGTTCTACTTCTTGCGTGACATCCACCTTTTGTGAAATATCGGGGGCAAGTTTAAGTAAACCTTCTGAGGAGGTGAGAGTCGGGATTGAATGGAATGCTGGTTCTGCCAGCCCAGTTGTTCCTGATACCACAGGAGTCCATGTCGAGTAGTATTGAGGGAGGCCAACTTTCCACTGGGAATGTTGGGTTAGAATGATCCCTGTAGTGTCAGCAAGCCATTGGATGCCACTGCAGTCTGTACTGGGTGCTGGAGTACAGTTGCATTGAACTGAGGCCCCTGGACTGTACACTAACTCCACCATCTGGATTCCTTCTGTTTCTCTCGTGAAATCAATCACGAGCACTAACTCTGGTCGGGCTACAATCTATTTAAAATGTAACTAGGTCTGACTGAACTCGCATTTAACCAGCTGCAGTGAGCTATACAAAACCAGAAGGCAACCACTTGCATGGTTTTAAGGAGATGAAGCTTTTCTTAGCTATTTTTCAGTTTGGGCTACTTATCCCAGCACTTCCTCCCCTTTGTGTTTTATCACACTATCTGGGTTTTGAACAAAATCTGCAATTTGTTTCCCATTTCCCAGCCCAACCACCCCCGCCCCCCACTTATTTTGTGCTACTGCTTCTAATCTATTTATTTTAATAAACTTCTGCCCAAAGTGCACGTTCATTAAATTTCAACTGCCACTGATTTGCCTCAATGGAAATCTTCCTCTGACCTGTAACAATGTAGTCAGTGTAAAGGGCAGTTCTACACTGAAGCCCTTGCCAATATTTATCACTCGACCCCTTGCTTTTAAGCTGATTATCTGGTCTTCAGGACATTGCTGTTTGTGTCTACTGCTATACTTGAGAGAGACAAGTTGTATGAGATGCATACATTGATCCTCACCCAGCTCTTGTGTAAAGCTACACTCTGAATTCCATTCCAAACTTTGTATTTCCATAGCACCTTTTTTAATGCTGTGAAATGCTGCAAGGTGCTTCACAGAGTATCATTGACGAATGGTTGGCACTAAGCAATTAAAATTTAGTGTGCACAACAGGATTAGAGAAGCTTGTGTAATTATGGGGCTGGAGGGGCATAGAGTTTTGGGAGGTGAGTTCTTTCAAAGCTTTGAAATGGCATTGCTTCCTCACTTAAACAATCTGATTCAGTGACCATGGGAGCGATGGGTGAGCAGGACATAGTAAAAGTCCTTTTTGAATTCATGCAGGATATGGGCATTGCTGGCTAGACCAACACTTATTGCCCATCCCTGGCTTCTCTGGTGGTAGTGAGCTGCCTTCTTGAAACGTTGTAGTCTGCGTGCTGGAGGTTGACTCAAAATACCGATGGGAAGGGAATTTCAGGATTTTGACCAGTGACACTGAAGGAACAGCAATATGTTTCCAAGTTTTTTTTATTGGGGAGGTGATGGCCAAGTAGTATTAGCACTAGATTGTTAATTTAGAGACCCAGGAAACGATGACGATGAAATTGTTGCCAATTGTCAGGAAAAACCCATCGGGTTCACTAATGCCTTTTAGGGAAGGAAACTGTCATCCTTGCTTGGTTTGGCCTACATGTGATTCCAGGCCTACATGTGATTCCAGACCCACAGCAATGTACTTGACTCCGAACTACCCACTGGGCAATTAGGGGTGGGCAAGACATACTGGCCTGGCAAGTGATGTTCACATCCTGTGAATGAATTTGAAAAAAGAGTCAGGATGGTGAGCAGCTTGGAGGGGATCTTGTGGCTGGTGGTGTTTCCATGCATCTGCTGTCCTAGTCCTTCTAGATGGAAGTAGTCATGGGTTTGGAAGATGCTGCCTAAGGATCTTCTGTGAGTTTCTACTGTGTATTTTGCAGAGAGTACACACTGCTGCTACTGAGCGTTGGTGGTGGAAGGAGTGGATGCTTGTAGATGCGGTGCCAATCAAATGGGCTGCTTTGTCCTGGATGGTGCCAAGCTTCTAGAGTGTTGTTGGCGCTGTTCAAACCTTTGGCTCCATCTTGGTTTTGTAACAATTGACGACAATAGATCGGTCTTGTTTTTAAAATTTTTTAATTGTTCCAGTGACAACAGTGTGCTGGTGATTTTCTTAGTGTTATTGAAGCTGCGCCCATCCAGGCAAATGGGGAGTTTTCCCCTTAGTGCTTCCTTGACACATTTTTCTGATGTAACTCTACTAATTGGTGTGACTACAGTGTGAAAACTTGGCTGTGGTAGAGAGAGAGAGAGAGAGAAGGGGAGTTATTGGTTTGGTTTAGTTGGGGGTGATTTCAAATAGCAGTGATACAGACACAAAATGAAACCCCTTTCTATTGGAGGCTGTGATGATTGCAATAATTGGACCTCAATTGTCTTTGGATTAAAACACGCAGCAGGCAAACAAACAAAAAAAAACCACACCCATTTTAAGGGGCTTTTCAGCCAAAGTGGTCACATCTGACTCTCCTCTTTGTAGTTACCTTTGCTCCCTCCGAGCTCCTGACCCCAACAGCCCACAGTTCATAAAAACCGAAAGAACTGTGGATGCTGTAAATCAGGAACAAAAACAAAGTTGCTGGAAAAGCTGTTCAAACACCAGGAGTGACAGTGAAATTAATGTCAGTGCTTTTACAGTGTCTGCAGTTCTTTCGGTTTTTATTTAGAATTTAACTCACTGCCACATCTCTTCCAGGCATGCCCACCTTGAAGTAGTTCTGCTCCTCTCTCTGATGGGATTTCCGTTCCAATCTTCTTGCCCACCGACATTAATTTCACTGTCACTCCTGGTGTTTGACATCCCTCCTAACGTTCTGTTCTCTGATGCTGAACGTTCTGTACTCTGCAAAGGCCTCAGCTTTATTCCTCTGCATCCCCACCTTAACGAATTTCGGGCACGACATGACGTCAAACTCTTCCGCTGTCTTCGTAGTTCTGAGGAAGGGTCACCGGACCCGAAACGTTAACTCTCTTTTTTCCTTCACAGATGCTGCCAGACCTGCTGAGCTTTTCCAGCAACCTTGTTTTTGTTTCTTTAGCCCACAGTTCACACATCTCCTGTAGGAGATGTCAAAGTGGGTGTCTGTGAACTGTATAAATCGCTGATTGTAGGTTAGTTTAACTCTGCCTTTATTGGTCCTTGGTTAGCTTCCATCAGGTTTAGAGATGCTCAAAATAAAAAGAAATGTTTTTGAACAGGAGGAGGTCTGTCTGCTTGACTGTTTGTTTTGATTGTGTCCGTTCAGACCTTTGGCTCTGTCTTGGTTTTGTAACGATTGACAACAATAGATCGGTCTTGTTTTCAAAATTTTTTAATTGTCCCAATAACAACTGTGTGCTGGTGATTTTCTTTTTCTTACTTTTTGCTTTTTTGGACTCTAATTTTCCCTTTTTGAGGCTAAATATAAACATTGAAAATCATGATTTAATAGAAAAAGTG